GTTATAAAACAATAAAAGAAGTAAAAGAGCATTGCAGAGAAAAGTTGAGAGAATTCTTATTGATTTTGAATGAAATACAATAGAATAGAACCCTCTATTTATAGGGAGAGGGTGACTTAGCCACCAAGCAATGAACCCTAGAATCTCTCTAAATATAGACATTCACCATAAATACAATTCTATTTATAACACTCCCCCTTGAATGTCTATTCAACAGATAATGTGCCTCGTTAAAACCTTAATTAAAATAAAACCCAGTGGGAAAAAAATTCTAGAGAAGAAAAAAGAGTACACATATCTAACAGTACGCCTTTTGGTTGCCTCATTAAAAACCTTGCAAGGAAAACCCAGTGGGACAAAACCTTGTAAGGGAAAAAGAGTACAACGCGTATTAACTCCCCCTGATGAGAGCATCAATTCACATCCTTAAGCATTTGCATTCCAATCTTGTGCACCATCTTCAAAAGATCATTGGTAGATATTTGATGAACAATAGCAGCCATATTAACTTCAACGAATTTGTTTCACCTTGAAATCATCATCCCTGATAGATGTATTGTCTTCATATGATCTTGTTGGAATCATCATTTCAATATCTTCACATAGGGGTGAAAGCTCTTGCTATCATATTATCATGCTTATAGTTATAGCAAGATACATATGTGCACAAATTACATTTAGGATATAGTACTTCATGACCATGAATTCTATATGCTTTAAGCAATTTAAATCCTTCAAGGATTTTTAAGTCATATAAGCCATATAATGGACTTTAGATGCATATCAAGTTTTCATGTCATGCTAGACATATAAGATATCGAAAACTGATTGCACATACCATTGACTTTATACTTTCAAGTGTTTGAACTACATGTTCAAAACTACATGTCTTTCATATGAAACCAAACTTCTATTCGAATTGTTTACTTCTAGCTTAAAGCTACTCGTATATATATTTAGCGCTATCATAGATGTCGTCGACAAACACTTTATATCAGTTTCAATATTTTTACATAAAGACATAACATAGAGATCTCTTCATTTATATTTTCAAGTACCTGAATCTCTCCTGAGATTTTATGAAGTGTTACGTCATGTGATCTTCTAGATCACTTGCCTCCTTTATTATGATCATTTTGATCATTTGCTCATTTTCTTTATCAAGAAGTTTATTTGAAACCGATTTGTCTATACGCTTCAAGCGTACTATAGACTTTGTCCTTCTAGGACTTATTCTAATAGGAGCATTTGCAATGAGAATATAGTTACTTTCTTTGGGTCAGCAAATGCGTCTGGCATGCTTTGCAATAAATTGCACATGAATTATCCTTTTATGAACTTCAAGTTCATATTATTTTATTCGGGGATCAGATGTATAAATAATAATTCATTCCATGTAATTTTTTCTCAACTGTTTATCTTGTCTCCCCCTCATGTTAGAAAAACTAACTTGTTTCCTCAACTTTGAGAACCCATCTTTGTGCGTTATGGTGTTAATCATAATATACACCGCACATCAATAATAATAATAAGATGGAATTATTTGATTTTTGACCCAGAACCACTTGTGAGGGGAGAAAATAATATACTTTCGTATATAACATATATCAAACCGATATATATAACTTTGTTCTCATAAGCAATAGTTTAGCTATTAAGTGGAGGCAGTCAATAAATTATTTTGCTAAACCAACTGTGATGTAAACCAACTTATCAAGATGAACTATCTTGAGTAAAAAATTCTGGAAATTATGCTCTAAATCAAATTATTGAGCAAGTTACCTCGCAAACACCATGTTGCGGGTTAATAATAATCGCGCATGTAACCATCTCATAGATGCATCTTATGTGGTATACATGGCAGGTGAATGGGCCCATATTCACCTTTGATATTTTCAGCATTCATGGGATTCAATCCCAATTTTAATTGGTCTAGTAATTAATGAGAACAAGCAATGTAAGAGAATTCGTAAAGAACTTTCTAGTTCTTTAATATTTACCCATGTGAATTCTCTTTTATTTTTGCACATCATACTTGAATTAACATGGCTAAACCAATTATGCCAACTGGATAAATTATCAATATTGATAAACTTCAGGTTTACACCATGATGTGTGAAATTATGAATAAACTCCAAGTTTATTATGATATGAGTTTTTATATCAATAAATATCCACTTCATTGTGGTATTCTTTTATTTATGTAGTACAAATTGGAGAATAAAGCGGGTAGCTTTTCACATACATATTACCCCGCTACAAGTAGTACTAATAGAAGATATTAAATCTTTCCTTTATTTATAGTCTCAATATAATCAACCGCTTTCGCGTATACTTTGGAAACTGAATAAGTTTCTTTGAGACTTACTACAACACAATACCTTATTGGTAATTAATTGTGTTTCTCCAAAATAGTATAATTGGCTCTTGCAGAGTTCTCAATTAATTTTGTAGTATCACATATTCATCAACACCCATATGGTAAATATCTCTTTTAAAGAGAAAGTTATACCATTATGGTTATGGTCAAAATTATATGCAAGATCTGTTTCTTGCATTACCGTTAACAATCACAATGCCAAAATATTTTGGCGTACAATAGGTACGTGACCAATGACCATTCATGCCATAATAATGACATTATTTTCTTATATCATCTCAAACCTCCTTTTAGAGGTAAGTGCGGTATATTCACTACTACTAGCATGTTCATATTCTTTGAAGAATGAATATGTATTCATACATCAGATGTTTTCACATTCACATCATGAATGGACCATAATCATCTATAAGTGCTTTACAAAATCTCATGTCAAATCAATGACAAATATTTTTCACAGAGTGAAAGATTATTTTGAGAATCCTTATTGTTCTCATTACCACAAATGATGTCGATTATAATTTCATCTATTGCCACGTCCATATCCATTGATACATTCATAGTAATAATTTTATCTTTTTTCAGACTTATCACATACTGCTATCACATTCTCTTAAGAGAATGAGAATGGAGCAAATTCAATGGGACGAGTTTTCAATTCTTTGCCCACAATCATACATGAATTTGATCATGGCGAGGCATAGAAATTTTACCACTTCAGGTGGTTATAATTTCTTACAAACTCCATTAGAGTTATAATCAAACTTTATTGTATTTGCTTGTATTTAAAATCAAAGTATAGAATAAAAGAGAAAAATACGGTAAAATACTTACCTTAAATCCAGAATTTAATCATGAAGGAAGTTTATGGAATAATTGACAATCATTATGCTCAATCCCAAAGCTTGTACTCAATTGGTTAGAGTCTCGTGCTGATAACGTGTTATAAAACAATAAAAGAAGTAAAAGAGCATTGCAGAGAAAAGTTGAGAGAATTCTTATTGATTTTGGATGAAATACAATAGAATAGAACCCTCTATTTATAGGGAGAGGGTGATTTAGCCACCAAGCAATGAACCCTAGAATCTCTCTAAATATAGACATTCACCATAATACAATTCTATTTATAACAGAATCACACTATTATACAACAAATAAGAAGGAAAAAAAAAGCGAAGAAAGAGCAGTTTTGTTTGAGTTTGCCTACACTAGCTATTAATTAAATTTTTTGAAAACTAGCTATAAATTAAATGGGAGCGTCAAATAGGCCGACCCATGAATTGTTTTTGAGATTTTAACACGGTACAATACTGATTGAAAACTATTGTCATAAATAATTACTTTTGATTTATCTCAAAAATAACAGATTTATTTACATTTATAACATGTTTTTAAGATTTTAAAAATAAATACTCATCAACAAAGTAAGGGATCAGGTTTTGGTCCTTATTAATCTATTCCATTTTCTCTCTCTTCATTATATTAAATTTATCTATAATTAACCCAAAAATAATGTTTTAAGGGGTACTAATAAAATTGGGAACAACTTCAGTCATTTAAGATGGTCTCCCATCATTCTTAAAATTTCTTTTTCGTGTCTATTTGTTTCATTAGACAAGATTTAAGAAAATTCACTCGATTCCCTCACCATTTTTTCCTTCATACAATCAAAATCATTTAAATATGTATGTACTACGATATAATTTTTTCTTTTTATAATTATACCATCATTACACCAATTATATAATTAACTATGGAAAATACAAAATTATTCCATAAATATATATAATATATAATATTATTCCTGCTCTATTCCAAGTTTGTTAGTGTCGCATTAATCTTATTTCCAATTATTTGGATACACTTTCGATAATATACCTTTTATACTGAAAATATTTGATTGTAGTCTTTTTGTTATATTGATTTTATTTTTCACTGTTAATTATGGTATTATATTGGGGAATTTGTAAATAAAAATGACCCTAACTCACATTCACAGCCCAATCCAAACTCCTTAGACCATAGACGAATTCAACCCAAAATACAACTAACGGTTTTTTGGCTCCTCGCTGTTGCAGCTGTCGCCATTGCTGTTGCCATCACCATCCTTGTCTAGAGGTATTTAACTCTCCTCTTAGCTCTTCTATGTTATTGAATTATTACTAAGTTATTTGAATCAGCCAGCTTTGTAATTCTGCAAACAAATTCCGTTTAACTTATTTTTGTATTCTGAGTTAATTTATTGAATAGTATAAACAAAATTATTTTTACTGGGGATCATTTTTATTTCGTCTGTTGAGCCGAAGTTCTTTCAGAAACAGTCTCCTATCCCGGGTAGGGGTAAGGTATGCGTACACTCTACCCTCCGCAAACCCACTAGTGTGATTCTATTGGTTTGTTGTTGTTGTTGTTGTTGCTGTAGGGATCATTTTTCTTGTCCGCTGCTTTATTATGGACTAATGTTATATGTCCAATGTTGCTTTGCCTCTATGATGTTCAAGCTTGAGTAATTTTCTTTGCTAGTTGAACCCGATGAAATTGTGAATAGTGTTGTCATTGGATTCCAAATAGTTAAAGTGCAGTTGATGTGGTGCTTCAAATTTTTATATGCGTGACTTGAGATTAGACATTAGGCCCCTTCCACTTTTACAGAAATTAAGCCATCAAATATCCCTTTGTTTGTGCCAGAAGCAAAATTTGAAAAAGCAAAAAGGTTTGGAAGCCCATTTTGGAGAGCCGCACACCACAATAACCTAACGGAACTTGTTTTTTTCTTTCTGATAACCGAGAAATATGTCTGGGGCAACCCTAAGTCACTAGTCCTCGACTTTTTCCACTTGAGCTAAGCCCTGAGATTTGCAATATTATAAAAACCGAGAACTGAAAAACCTAACAAAACTTTCCAAAAATCAAACCGAATTGACGGATGTCCAATCCTACTGCTAATGGGCTTTAGGACAACATGAAATAGGGTCAGTGTTGTATTTAGAAAAGCAGAGAATCTCAACATGTATTTGGCTACACAATTTTCGCATGGCTGATTCATAGTATGTCTTATGGTTTTGCTTCATGACAGCTGAAATTATGGGCTCAGAGATGGAAATAGTTGAGCAGAGGCTAAAAGCTTTTGTAGGTCAGCTCCAGACAGAGTTTGCCATTCTTGATCGACTCGTTTACAAAAACAAGAACCAGCATAGAAGATGCTCTTATTTTCAGTACCTCTTAAAGGTTGTATATTTACCAATTTTTATTCATATGTGCATGTTGGACAAATGGGGTTTGCTTTATTTTTATAATAAACTACTAGCATCGAAGACTCTTAACGGTTGTTACCAAAGTTTATGACTTTATTCATATATAGATAGGGGGATTGAGGGGAGTTTGCTTTTAGTCCAAAGTGTACTTCTTACTTTATATGCTTGTTTTGCTGATATTAGGTGAGAAGAGATTTGAGGCTCCTCCAAGCAGCTAATTTGGAGGAGGTTTTGAGTGCCTCCTTTCATGTTCTTTATGGAAAAAGACCCAAGCAAAAAGTGCAGCTCTTAGAAAGGTACTTTGACCCCTTTAGAGTACCTATTTTTTGGTTTTAAGATTTTAAATATTTTAATTCTTCTAATGATCATACACCAAGATTTGGAATTTGATTACAATCATAATTTGTATACCACCTTTTCATGTCTACCGTGAGTAAATTTTGATTTGAGAGTGAGCACTTATCATGCTCTTGCATTTTTCTGCTCCTATATTGATGTTTACTAAGTAATATTTTTCAGTGGGAAAAATTGAACTGACATACACGGAATCTTGAAACTGAAATTGTCTTCCTAACTTATATGATGGTTTATCAATAATCATCTATCTTTTTGTGTTGCTCGCAAGTGCAACTATTTGCGGTGATGGTTGACTGTTACTTGATCTCCACCATTTGTTAAATTAGGTAGTCTACCATTCTGCTGTTTGAAAGTATCTCCACAGAAAGGTGCATAGCGCAAGATTAGTTCTAGGCTTTGTCATGGAAAAAATGTCTGTTTATGTGAGTTATAGCAACAGTTTGCAAGTTCTGTCCATCTCTTCGTTAACCGACAGATTGGAGGGTAAAATTTTTACAAGTTGCAATTGAGACTATTTTAGCAATCCTACTGTGATGGAAATAGAGTTGTCATTATTTGTGTCTTGCTCTTCCATTGAATTATACATACAAATTCTCTCTGCCCGTGCTCTAATATATGATGATTTTAGATGTATTGAACTTTTCATCCTCACTTTTCATGGGTCTCAGCCTAAAGAGGAGAAGATGTGATGGTGGCAAACATAACTTTCTGGAGCGGCTTCTAGGGGTTGCACACCTGTTGTCAGAGGTATCATTGTTTTCTTTCTCACTTCTTGTTGTTCTCCATCTAAAACAATTCGTCCTAGTCTGTAAGACAACTCATGGTATTGGATTGCCAAACTCAGCTTACCATGAGGATTGCTTGCTAGAATTTACTGGCATTAATAACTTCAACTCGTCCCCTGCCTTTAAATGATCGCTTGAAGCTGGGTGATTTTTGGCTCAGTTTTTCACACCTACCAGTAGAAAATGTAGAGAACTTCTATTTGGAGAACCTAAAATTGAATATCGGATTGAGATGTGTCTAAATGGAACAACATGAAGAAGTGAGGATACGTATAGCTGATAATTAGCTTGAGATTGAGGCGTAATTGTTGTTGTTCCATCTAACTACTGGAATGATGATTTCTCTATCTCTCTCTCTCTCTCTAATTCTAATCAAATGTCTTAACATAAGCTGGACGGTGTTGATAATAAGAATCATATTAGAACAAGGAAAACTTTAAGTTTATCATTTTATTCAGTTGTAATTCTTAATTTACTTATTCTTTTCTTGCAGATCGTTGAGCCAATGTTAAGGGCCGCTACGTATCCTTCTTGCTTCTTTTTTGCATACTAATACTTCATTTGATATGTTGATTATGGGAGCTTTACGTATCCCAATTGATGGCCATTAAGGCCATTGGTGATTTCTTTTAGACTAGTTACATCTTTAAGTAATAGGATGAGCTTAAGTTGTTCATTTTCTTTCATAGCTCTCGGGGTGTGTGGAGGTGATTGGAGTAAGGAGGGTTTGTCTGAAATCACTGTGGGTGCGTACTTATTAGCATATGTAGCAAACCTTTTCTGTTCTTCAAAACTACTAGACTTTTACGCAGCTGATTCGACCGTAAAATTACTGGTTTGCTAAATTAGTTTAGTTGGATATTAATTGTACCTCCTTCTTCCTTTTTCTTTTGTCTGTATCTTCGTAATTTTCATCTGTCCTGTTTTCATCTCATTTGTATGTTGAGTTCGTTTTTCACCTTCGTTTTTCACCTTGTGCTGATTGCTCTTCATTTAAGTAACACTTGATCAATGTGCTTTTTCATGCAAATTCCATTGTAAAATGTTTGCCATGCTCGATTGTTTTTTACCCTTAACTGTAGACAGGGAGATCTCGACACTTCTTGCACGATCATTTTTTATGGGATTTTCCTTGACAGTATTGGCTTTGCTCGCCCGAATAAGAGTTCTAGTTCAGCAAGTAAGTATTCTCAGGATAGTTTTATCATTTTCAAGTAAGTAAAATTTGATCATTTTAAATGCTCTTTTCTTAGTCTTACTTATAATAGTAGAGGTTGCCGGCCCAACTTGTGTACTAAGGTGTCATTGTTGTTGTACTTACAATAGTAAAGGTCCTGCACATCGATTGTGTTCTTTCAAATTTTCAATTTGTTGAAGTTCTAGTTTCTAGTATAATACACTGGAGTCATGATAATTTCTGGAACTTATCTAATTGGAGTAACTGATCTAATTCAAGAGTCTAGGGGAATGGGAATCATGTAAATAACATGAGAATTTTTGCTCTTTAGGAACATGCAATATTTGAGGAAGTGAAAAGCTTATATGGAGCAAATTTGCTAAGGATGTCCGGTGATTGAACAGGAAATTCTAATAAAATCTGCTTTATTCAATGCAGATGCTTCTTGATGTTGTTTGTGTATTCAACAGTGTCTCCTCTTTATCTCAGAGGGAACAAGCCATAAAATTGAGGCAGGATGGATTTGAGGTTGTTAAATTCTTCACAACTTGTCTCTATGTTTTTCTGGTGCAATGCAAGAAATTTGTTTCCTTCTTTTATTCCCTTTGTTTTAACTTGCTTTTTTGATTGGTTTTATTAGTTCTGTTAAGGTCAAGAAATGGTTAGAAAGTTCAAGAGAGTCATACTACTTGCAGGCACAATGTCGAGATAAGAAAAATGATATACTTCTTTGGATGTACTTATCAAGGAGAAAATATCGTGGGCATATTCCAACTTCCGAGCCACAGATATCTGCTGGTTTCTCTAATTAGGAGCCATGCTTCTTATTATATGGATTACGGGTTACAGTGTGCATGATGTACTGCAATATTTCTTTTCAATCTTCTGGAGGCCTCAAATATCCTAGTGTCTATCTCAATTTTTATAGCTTAGACTGCACAGATTCCAAAGCTACTTCAATTTCTTAATCATTAAGTCAAAGTGTTTCCAATTACCTCTCGTGTATTAAATGCAGACATGTACTTTTCCAGGAAACCGTGTTTTCTTTAATGCCAACTGGTTAGAATCACTCCAGGTGTTACTAGCAACCCCCCTTCCCCCAAACAACCAAGTTAACCCTACATGTGTGTCCTTCGTGTGTGTTGGTGAACAGTAAGATGTTTGTCAGAGTAAAAAGTGGAACACGATACTAGATAACTGTCTTTGTGCTGATTGTTGTGACAGAATATACACGTTAGTCCCATCACTAAGTGAACTATGATAGTCATTAATAACAATTCTTAGATGAAATCAAGAAAGCAAATGTTCAATATTTTGTGTCATTGCAGGTTTTTAGAGAATACTTTCCGCCAAAGCAGGATGTGATATTCCTCGAATGTCTTTGGAAATCTGATAAGTATGTGTTAGTTGAGAGACAAAATGAGAGAGATATGGGAAGCAAGGAAAAGGAGGTTGGAGAAGATGTTTCTGTAGAAGCATCTAAAATTCAGTATGAAAGCATTGAGATTTTCCTAGGAGGTAACCACGAAACAAGAATTCTTTTCACTGTCTTGTTTTCTTTATCGAACATATTAAATCTGTTTGAGCTCGATATCATTTAAGATAGTATTATCCAGTGTTTTGCTGTTTGCCAGTTTTTATCATTCAGTTTGACAATAAATCTGTCTTACCAGGTATTGTCCTTTGTGTGCATGGAAGACGTGTCTATTGCGTGTCTATCTAGTGCTTCTTACTCGTTGAAGCTATAGATAGAATCATTGAGGAATTTCTTCCCCCATCACATGACTTTCCCTGTTATCTGCTTTATACTATACAAGAAAGGCCCACCTGATACAGCATCCTATCATTTTCTTCAGCAACATATAATTGTAGATAAGTTGATAAAGAGTGTGTGATAAATGCTTTGGCTTTGAATATTTATCTATCTTTTTCTGCTAAGGAAGAAAAAGGAAAATAAAAGAGAGGCTGTATATAGCAAAATGGTAAGAAACACCCATTGATTCTAGTGTTAATTTGTGCATACCCAGGCTTGTGGGGATGATTTCGAGATCTTAGACAATCGCGGTTTTAAAATTTGTTTGCCAGCAAAATCCAGTTTTGTGCATTTTGTTAATCAGAACTTTTTCGGTAACTGCGACTTGGCTCTTTGTTTGTTACTGATTTTCAGTCTTTTTCCTCTATAATTTTGTGCATCACTTTTTCCGGGATCTTGTGTAGATGAGGAACCTGGAAAGACAGCCTCTAAAGATTTGGCTGAGGATGATGAAGCTGTTATCGACAAAGATAAAGCAAATTCCCCGGAGAATCCTAAAGATATGGCAGAAGATGTTCAAGCTGTAATGGACAAAGATAAAGCAACTTCTTTGCAGGATCCTATCCAAGAGGGTAAGGATGAATTTCGAGCTCAAGTTGATTCAGCTATTGCAGGACCTTCTGGCAACAATTTTAATGCTCCTGAAGCTAGAGCGTTCCCAAGTTCATCACCCGACAAGAATCCGGCAAAAGCCAAACCTGGATCAAAGAATAATGTTGCATTTGTTTCAGTTAAAAGACCAGCTGTGTCAACAAAGAGTGAGTTGGAGTTTGGCATTCCTGGAATGCAAAAGGGTGATAATCCTAGTCCTAGTGTAGATAAAGAAGATCCATTTTTCAGTTTACTTACTGCTGGAAATATGAGGAGCAGTCTATTCTAAACTTCACTTAAGTTTTGTTTTCCCTTGTTTTTTAACCTTCGGGGTACATATTTATGTTTAAAAAATTCCTGTATTTGGACAAGTCATCCAAATTGGTTTTTGAATTTTAAGAGTTGGTGCTCAATCATGTCCTTTCTTTTAGTAGTAAAAATTTCTTTAGTACAACTCTTAATAGTTAGCTGTGTCATTAGTTACTTTTTCAGTCTGAGGGCAGTAGGAAATTCTTAATTTTCCTGTGACATTTTAAAACTCTAGTGTCAAAATTCAATATCATATAACAAGTGTAATTTCAAGCATCTGAGGGAGCTAAATATGAATTCCAAAGTTAGCGTTCTAATGATTTTACTATTAACAATATTATATTATTAGCTACTAATCATTTATCAGTTTCTATAACTCCAAGCATTCGTTGTGCGGATAACTCTTTCTATCTTTCTGAGAGCATATATAGAAAAAAGGACACATTCAGAGAGCATAATTGTCTGCATGTAGATATTAATTTAATGTCAACACTAAACTTTTACCAAGTAAAGCCTCAGCTAAGTAAATTATACAGAAGAAAATCATTCCTCAGATAAATTCTAAGATGTTGTTTGAATCTCAAAAAGTAAAAACACTTTGGGTGAAACTGAGAGGTTAAACCTCAGCTAGACCCAATATGGGGCTCAAGAGCTCTCATTCTTTTCATTTGTTCTCCAAACAAATCAAAACGCAAAATATTCTAACTGATGCCTCTGATTTTTGGTACTATAAGTGTCCGAATCTCCATCAGCTGCTGATCGTGCTTCAAACTATAAGCTATAAACCAAGCTGGTAATTCCAGTTCTCCATGTCTCCCAAATTCCAGCATGTTATGAATTTTCATTATTCATTATGTAAGAAACAACTACAGTTATGTCGTCCAACTTCCCACCATGGTACTCAAAACCAGCCTCTTGAGCTCCATCAGAGAAAGGCGACGACTTAATAGGATCCATTGCTCTTTTTTGTGCCAGTTCTGCTATCCTCCGAGCAGTCATTTGAGGCCCTAAGCCAGCTTCTACGGACTGAAGTACAACTCCTTTGATATCTTCGTCATACAAGTTATCAAAAAGCCCATCTGTACCAGCAATTAAGACATCTCCAGGTGCAACAGCAATTTTAAACACCATGGCCGAGCTAGGTGAATCGCCAGCATTATTGCAGTCTAGTTGATAAGGAAAATTAAAACCATGTTGTTGTGCAGGGGATTTAAATGCGGCATATCCATGTCTAACCAACATAAATCCGCTATCTCCTAAATTAACTGCATAAAGACCCTCCTCGGTGAGTGCAACAATACAAGCAGTAGAAGAACCTTTTGCTTTTGTTTTCACGTAAGCTTTATCCAGTGCCCTGATTAGGTCTATGGAGCCTTTTGGTTCCTCCTGAATTGCAGCTAAAGAGTTAGACATTAACTCGCGGGCATACAGCCCAGCATCAATACCAAGATCAGCCCATCCACCAACACCATCAGCTACACCGATAGCTTGTGTAAGGGTACACATAAAATGAGCATCCTCTCCACCAGTCTTTGCTTTAGCAGGATGAGGCAGGTAAAAAGATCCTGAATTAAGCTTCAAGGGGATCTTTGCTTCAGAAGAATCAGCAGCAGTATTAGCAACTTGCTCCTCGCCCTTAGCATTATCCGAAGACACACCAGGAACAGAAGCAGTTCCAGAAGAGATACACGCAGGGGATAAGTTGTGTAAACCTTCTGATCCAAATCCTATGTATGATTTGGGATCGGCCCACCTCTTTGTAACATGAGTCGTGAAGTATTGGAAAAGCATATTGTTGGGATGTCCTTTATTTCTCAAACTCATGTTGATTTTTCTAACTTTGTCAAAGCCTCTTTTGTTGTAAGAAACAGTGCAGTTCATTGACAAACCATATTGCAAGCGCCTAGCAGTGATATTACCAACAAAATGACCAATATGAGAAGTTCTTGAACCACAAACAGCCATTATCACGTCCTGAGTGTTAATGCCAAATGATGATCAGATAAGCAGGCAGCTGAGTTCTGCAAATGCATCCACCAAAGAAGAATTATAAAACAACTTATGAAGTCACATCTCTAGATCACACATTTGCTTTTCTTCTTTTAATTGACAAACTAGATAAAGAAAACTGATAAAGCAAGACGATAACGAGTCCATAAGAAGCACGACATGCACAACACAAGATTCCGAGTCTCGCTTTCAATTAGTTGTCATGAACAAAGAGTTCATAATACATAGATTCTGTAAACAATCTCAGGCTAGAAAACACAAGCTGTAAGGCTTGCCAAATAAAACCTGTTAAGTGACGAAACAACCATTTTACATGAAAGACAGATATCTAGAAATCTGACTTCATCAAATAAAGAAAGTGAAAACACAGCTATCTAATGGATACACAATTGTAGGGAGCTTATTAGCAACAAAATTTACAGACACACATCCTTTAAAGTCAACCTTCAAAATCCGATAGACAGTAAGCTCAAAAGACTAAATTTGCATCCCATTTTTCATAAGCAATAGTATACAAGCAAAAATTTGAGTTCTGATTTCTGGGTAAGTAAAAATGAATTTGCTTTTAGTAGACATTGGTATAACCATAGGCGTATTGCTGCAGAGATGTTGACAAATATAATCAACTACCCTCAGCCCTAAACTACTCAGGTAGGCTATATATTTATCTTCATGAATAACGCTGTATTGAGGTCCAAAGTTTCACATAGAATAAGAATAAAAATGTCAATTTTATTCTTATCAAGTCAAAAAGCAATTAGCACTTAGTAGACTGTCTACGTTACACCCGAATGCGGGATGCCTGTGCACCGGCTTGGTTCAAGTAAAAAAGCAATTAGCAGAAAGAGACCTGCTAGAAAGAAACAAAACACTAAAAAGACCTAGTTCTGAGTAATTACCAATATAAGTGATAATGAAGAATTTGAGGTCCTATTTCCTCTTCCCTTATCAAGAAATTCAAGAACAGAAAACATTTAAGCATAATTAAACAAGAAATGAAAAGGGTAATCAGCAGACTTCACCTTAAACAGCTCACCGGCTGCAACTTTGCTCACAAAGGAACTATCAAAAATTGCTTCTTTTTCCGGTATTTTGAATGCAAAAGCTGCAATCTCTCTTACTCTCTCTCTCTCTCTCTAAGGGTGCAAGTTTAATGTAAGGGTTCACTGTAGATTTTCACAGATTGTTAGTGTAAATATCTCCTTTATTTTTTATTCTCTTTCATTTTCTTTGGTTTCTACTTTCTTGGTAGATGGATAGATAAGAGCTTAGAACCCTATTAAATTAGGGTGAACCCTGCATTTTTTTAATAGGATATTATAAGGTAATGATTTTACACAAATGGTCCTTATTTTGATTTTCATTTTGTCTCTAATCTTTAGGATTTTTCATTTTTCCCCATTTGGCAAATTGATTACCCATAGTAATTCAATGTTAGGACATGAATATAATTTTGGGTTGTCTTTAAAGTTTTGTGAGGATAGTGAAAATTTTAAAAAATAGCTTTTTGAAGTTTTTCAAATTTTTGAAAACCAAAATTTATTTTCAAGTAAAAATCAAAAAATTTATGGTCAAACACTGATTTCAGAAAAAATGAAAAAAATCTTAGTGCAAACGGGCTCTAATACTAGTCATGTTCCGAATTTTGATACATATTGAAAGAGCCAAAGAGGATTATAGTAAAAGATTTGAGACAATAATACTACTTCCTGTACAAAGTAAAAGTTATTTAGCAAGAAGCGTTCACTAATTCTGCAAAATAATGCTTAACAAGTAAGTGTACGACACAGAAATATTTTTTCTTTTGATATTCTCAGGGTGGGAGACTTTTTGTTATTTAAAGTTTTAAGTTATCTGATTCTCCTGAAACACTAATATCACTCTCACAACATGAGATGCTTTACACGCGTGCCACGTCATTGCCACATCATCGCCATGTCAATGCCACGTCAGAAAAAGCAGGAATTTTTATGCACTAAATCATCTTTCTCAGGCAAGGCTTCACGATTGTGTTCCAAAATTAAAAAGCATGAAAAGTAGAATTCCTCTCTTCTTTCCTTTTAATCTTCAATCTTTGTGATGATTAAAGTATGTTCTTTCTTCTTGTAGATATGTAAAAGTTATTGAGTTTAGTTCATATAAAATTTGGATTAAATTTTAAATTAGTTCGAGTCGAATAATTAATTTGGACTTCACAAATTAATAAGTTTATTTTTAATTTCAAGCCCAAGGTCCATTTCATCTTAAGGCCCAGGCTCATGCCATGTGTCAAGTGACATGGCATGTCCAGTCAACTCAAAGCCAACAAGATGACGCCACGTGTTAAATGATGTGGCAATCCCAGTCCAAAGTAGTGACCAATCAAGAGTTGCCAAGTGTCTAAAATGACATGTCTTGGCCAATCACAAGCAAGCTTATCACTTAGCTTATATGATAAGTTTGATAACTCACATGAACCAATCAGAATCAAGCAAGAGAGTTCATATGTAGCTGGATTGTCCATCCTCTACCATTATAAATAGAGGGGTTACATAACTCTCTAGAAAACATTCAGAGTTGGAGAAGAACTCTCATCACCATGGTGAAGGCATCCACAAACAGAGAGATCAATCATCAAGTGCTTCGTTCTTCAACAAAGGAGTGATCAACGGAGTTCTTCCCGGAGATCAACCCGTAACAACAAAGTGTTGCTCGACGTTCTTGGATTAAATACATCACAAGGAGGTCTACATCATCCTACATTCGAGAAAGACGCTTCTCAAGCCCTCGAATCACAGAGAATTTTAGAGAGGAGAATCAAGGGATACATAGAATTGTACTCACAAATATTTATCAATAAAGTCACTTTTTCTTCATATTATTTTTGTTGCAGTTTATTTTTCGTATTACGAAAATTTGTTGCGAACAAATTTTGGCACGCCCAGTGGGACCAATTCTGCCCTTCATCTCTCCTTCTTGCAAGTTAAAAACTACAAACTTCAGATTTACTGCTACAATGGCCTTCCGCAAGTTTGATGTTTCATGCAAAGATGCTACTGTTGCCGCATCCGCTGAGCTCAGTCATGTTGGCCCAATTACTCGAAGCAAGTTCAAGGCTAGTGGCTTGGATGGATCCGAATACTTCGCCTCCTTGGAGATAGCAAAGAAAAGCAGATCCCATATGACGTTCGCAACCGCATCTCTGGGGGCAACACCCCATTCTCGATGTTTGACGAACTTTCTCAAACAGCCTCAAACCTTGGCGGATTTGAGGATTTGGTGGATTCTTCAGTTTCAACGAAAGTCAATGCCTTGATGACTGACGCAACTAAGATGGACGAAAAGTTTGCCATGATGGAACAAACTATAGAGATCTTGAAGAAATCTGTTGAAGATAAAGACCTTCAAATCGCTCAACTCATGAACAAATTGGAGGCCTATGCACCTGGAGAGTCGAGCCATGTCCCTCCTCGTTCACCTGTCTTCACCTCCCAGAAAACAGCTGTCGAGGAATCATTTGCAAAGTTAAACATTCAAAAGGAAAAGCAATCTATTTCAGTTGCGGTGTTATCTGTCCAACAATGCAAGACATGATAACAAACACCATCAGAGCTCAATATGGCGGACCATCGCAAAGTTCGTTGTACTACTCTAAGCCTTATACTAAGAGGATTGATTGTTTAACCATGCCCACCAATTATCAACCACCAAAGCTGCATCAATTTGATGGCAAAGGGAACCCAAGGCAACATATTGCCCACTTTGTCGAGACTTGTAGCAATGCTGGAACACATGGTGACTTTTTGGTAAAACAATTTGTTCGTTCTCTGAAAGGGAACGCATTTGACTGGTATATTGACTTAGAGCCCGAGTCCATTGATAGCTGGGAGCAACTTGAGAAGGAATTCCTCAATCGTTTTTACAGTACCCGAAGAACTGTAAGCATGATAGAGTTGACAGGCACCAAGCAAAGAAAGGACGAGCCCGTGGTGGATTACATTAATCGTTGGAGGGCGTTAAGTTTGGACTGCAAAGATCACCTTTCAGAAATATCTGCTGTGGAGATCTGCATTCAAGCTGGGGCCTTTTGTACATTCTACAAGGGATCAAACCGCGAACTTTTGAAGAACTTGCAACACGAGCGCACGACATGGAGATAAGCATCGCAAGTCATGGAAATGCATCTCCATTTGCTGATCAGAAGGAGTTCAAGAAAAATGTTGCATCAAAGCACCAAACCAAAGAATCTATGGAGGTGAAAGCAACTTCCGTGAAAGTCACAACCAAGCAAAAGGTGAAGGGGGATAAGACCCCAAGTCAATATCCCAAAGAGGAGAAACGTCGTCCCACCTTGAAGGAATTAGAGGCGAAGGTTTATCCATTTCCAGATTCAGATGCACCCACAATCCTTGACGGATTGCTCGCTAAGAAAGTCATCTATCTCCTTGAATCAAAAAGGCCAGAGGAAATTGGCAAAGTTGGCGATCCGAAATACTGCAAGTTTCATCGCGTCATTAGCCACCCTACAGAGAAATGCTTCGTCTTGAAGGAGAAAATCATGACTCTTGTAAGTGAAGGAAAAATCATCATTGACATGGATGATGCTGCAGAAGCAAATCATGCAAGTATCGTGCTCAAAGAAAAGGAGTGTTCAAGGTTGCAGAACGCGTCAAGCACTGCCTTCTTACAATTTGGAAATTTCGAGCCCGTTGAAGTTGATCTTCCAAGGAAAACTCTTGAAGGTTCACTAGAGCTGGACACTCAGTCCAAAGACAAAGACGATGAGGGTTGGACTCTGGTCACTCACAAGAAACGAAGACATCAAGAGGTTCTAAGGCTACCACTTCCTAAGCCAAGAGCAAAAATAAACGATGTGGATAGGCTACAACCACCAAGAATTATCAAATCTTCCGTTAGCAAGAAGATTGAGGGTGCCTTATCGCCGAAGTTCCAAAAGCGCTTCACTTTGCATGAATTCTTTTCTGGAAAATTCCTTCATGGAGGTCACGTTAGTGCAACTCATGTAGTTTCTAGTACTGACGAAACAAAGGAAAACGACGATGAGCCCACTCCAATGAGAACACAAGAACATCATGATAACGGAAAAGTTGTCACATGTTGTGCAACCATTTCATTCACAGATGATGACTTGCTGCTAGGGTCTAAGCCATATAACAGACCTTTGTTTGTTGTAGGGTCCATCCGGGAACAACATCTCAATCGCATACTTGTTGATGATGGTTCAGCTGTCAACATCATGCCAAAGATGGTGCTAAAAAAGCTTGGGATCTCTATCGATGAGCTATCCAAAAAGTAACCTAACAATCCAAGGTTTCAACCAAGGAGGACAACGAGCCATAGGTATGGTCCGCGTAGGATTATCCATTGGTGAGATGAATTCAAACACCCTGATTCACTTCATAGATGCTAAAACATCATACAACTTGTTGCTTGGACGTCCTTGGATTCATGAGAATGGGGTGGTATCATCTACTTTGCATCAATGTCTGAAGTACAGAAGAGATGGTGAGATAGTCAAAATTGATGCAGACATCAAGCCTTTCACTGAGACGGAGTCATACTTTGCAGACGCAAA